AATATATACACACGAACGCCCACCCACAAACAAACACATTCACACTTACTCACGTATAAATATACCCACCTACAATCATCCGCACACTTACACACAAACAAACACACACACACACAAACACACACACAAATACACACACACACACACACACACAAACACGCACAAACATACACACAGACAACCTTATTATTGCCATATGTTTTGCGTGGATTAACTTGGTGATACGAGTTTTGCTTTGTAATTTTTTCTGCTCGGAATAGATTTCTATTCTTTTTTTTTTTAAGAGAAGGAAAACTGGTACATATTGTATTTATGAACATATCAACACAAAAGTTAACATTTTTTTTACGTAGGATACGAATTGGTGGGCATTATATATGTAGAAAGAAAGCGACAACATACACTCATCAATCCTCACACACGCACACATAATATACACATACGCTGCATGCACACTCACACACACTCTCTCTCACACTCACACACACACTCTCTCTCTCTCTCTCTCTCTCACACACACACACACACACACACACATACACACACACACGCGCTCGCGCGCGCGCGCAAGCACATACACACGCAAGCGCACACTCACTCTGTTCGTGAACTCCACTTCTCGAACACAAAATTATCTGTCCCAAACTCGAGACATGCAAATTTCTTGGCGACGGGTCTGAAATAATGAAGAAACTATTAAATAATTATTAAATTGTATGTAATTGATGATAAAATTGCTGCTGACATATCTTCGATCACATAATTGTCCTTCATGTGTGCGTTTTAACAACAAATTAATTTTAAGTGCGGGAGCCCGCAAAAAAGAAATTGGGCGAAAACGAAGATTCGCTGGTCTTAATTATTTCTCGAATCTGCCAACAACGAAGATGCAATTTCTTCATCATTGAGCTGGAATCTTGTTCAAAATTCCTGACTCGTCTTTAACTCTGTTCTGGAACTTAATTTTGTATTCATGCGCAGGCTAAAAGCTTCCCCTCTACTCATGGGAACCGTTTCTGTTTAGAATTTGCATGTTTAACAGCTCTATCCAGATTTTTAACGACGGCTAAGTTAAACGTTAAATGCCTCGGATTGACGCGAGATGTTGGCCCAAATTGATCAGTTTGGCATAGCTAGCAATCTTGTCATGTACGTGATACTAAGAAGATATTAATGCATCTGGCTGGCATGAAAACGAGAGAGTTCTGCTTTTGAAACACAACAATACTATTTTTCATGATATCATGCTTCTAAAAGAACCTGTTGAATGACGTGTTTTTATGATGGCGGCGTTAAACATTTCTTGATGGGCGGCGTAAAACGTTTACAAGTACAATTTTTTTTGTCTCTAATTTGTAGCTCTTTTTTTGTAGAAGTTTGTGTTCATGCTGGGCAGACATATGTAGTTTTGTGGGGTGGAAAATGTACACTGTATTAAGAGGAAAGAAAAGGAAAGGAAGAAAACAGCATACAATTGCAACGGATAAACAAAAGTAAATAATAAATTCACACGATGATATTTGAACCAAATTGTTTTGCGTTCCGACAGTAAAACACCTGCTAGTAGGGGGGAGGGGTGTAGACTAGCAAAAAAAGAACTATAGAGAACTGAACATGGAAGACAAACTAAACTTGATGTAGCTATCCCCTGCTTTGCGATATCACCTGCTTTGAGACAACTGAAATAATGGCGCCTTGGGGTAGGGACTAACTTTGGAAATATGTTTTTAGGATGGCGTTCAATATTCGCTGTGTTTGGCTTTTTGCGTCTTAGTTGAATCGTGATAGAGCAGTATACATATTACAGCTCTGACAAGGCGGTAGACATAGAAATAGTAGAGTGTCCAAACACTATTTCCCTCCCTTTAGCTTTTGACTTCATTCATATTATGCTCCCTAGGAGAGATATGGTCAATACGTTTGGAATCAAGGAAGGTGTAAGGGTGTTTCTTAACATGTGTGAGGTGTGATAGGAATACTTTTTATAAAAGGAAATTTCGAATTATGAATTTCGCTCGGGTGGTGGCTAAGGGGCCTATTCTTCAACGGTTTCCAACCACCGTAAAGATCTTTGACTCTTCAGGGAAATAGCGGACACTAATATCCGATCAGTACACCAAAGGCAATTTTGAGGTACAATGCGTATCATTATATACAAATCAGAACCATGGGTTTGCATACACGTCTTTGTATGCACGCTATCGTCTTGGTTTTCAAATATCAGCGAAAGAAGGCAAACTTGAGCAATCTATAAGAATATGGAAATCATACCTGTAACCAGCGTGTCTCGAAGCGTTGAATGACCAGAAATGCTCGTCCTACATGGACTGACATGCTCTATGGGCACACAAAGCCACTGAGTTTTTTTTGGATTCCTTTAGCAACCGGAATATCTGACTGAGAAGGACTTGTTTGACATTTGTTTACTCCTGATTATTGAAGTTATGAAAGCTCATTAGCACGATTTTGACTATTTATTGCTAGGAAAAAGGTGGGTGATAAATAGACCTATCTGAGAGAGAGAGAGAGAGAGAGAGAGAGAGAGAGAGAGAGAGAGAGAGAGAGAGAGAGAGAGAGAGAGAA